GACCGAGCTCCGACTCTTTCCCCACACATCTCCGCGCGCCTGGGCCCACGCGACGTATGCGTATTTTTGGAAATACGCACTCGCAGACTCACTGTTAGTTTACCAGATTACTCGGACTTGGCTAGATCAGCTTTCATGAGGCTATGGCATGCGGCAGTGCCAGAAACCGTTTAAAATCTTCGTTTAGTAGTATGATTGGCCAAGAAGCCATGCTTATGGATCGTGGCATCACAACGGGTTATCTGGGTCATCTTGGGAGCATACATCGTAATCTAATCCCGTGTGCATGCACGGTGGTGTTGTATTCTCATACGTGAGCCAGCAATCGTAACGCCGTGATATGCGTTTTCATGTATGTGGAAATGACCTCCAACGCCCCCAAAATGTCCTGTGTCTGATGTTTCTGTAGTTGAAGAGGCAACAAAGTACACAAATGCTCCAGGCAGCATGCTAACTGCGAATCGCAGGGGTATATATCAGCTATAGTAGATAGCGCGTAGACAAGTCGTCTACGCCTTCTTGATCCTTTCCTCGTAGGCTGACCAAGCAGCTTTTCTGTATCGTTCTGCCTCCGCCTTGCGGTCTTGTGCGCGCACAATACCTCGCCCGACAATGATGACGTCGCAGCCTTGCTCGAAGATCAGCTTGCGAGGAGTGTTGTATTGTTGGCCTAGAGCATCGCCCAGCTTCTTGCCTTCCTGGCCTGGCGGTGGGAGCTGGCAGCCTGGTGTCATGGTAATGAAGTTGTCCTCTGGCTCAGCGTTCAAGCTTCGTTGCGCAATGAAGCCCATGACAAACTCGGGACGGCTGCGTGCGATCTCGACGGTCCGCTTCTGGTATTCGGGTGTCATGAGGTGGCCCTCGGAGCTCATCTCGGCAAGCAGCAGAAGCGACCGCAGGAACGGTGGTGGACCAAGTCGGATGAGCTCTGTTGCTACGTCCAAGTTGAAGACTTCTTCTCCATTGGTATTAGGCTCTGGACGCGGCGATATGCTCTCTGTCCGCATGGATATCGAGGTTGTCACGCTGACGACGCTGTGTTTGCGGTCGGCAGCCTTGATGCTCAGCCGCCTCTCCTCGCCCTCCATCTCGATGGGTGACTCAATCGCCGAGTTTTGTTGTTGTTGTACGAATTGATCGTCCTCTTCGTCATCATCGTCGTCGAGGCCATTGATTTGCCGTGTGGCAGAGATTTCGGTGTTTACGGACGTGTTGTACTTGGCGATGGTGGCATCGGCAGCCTTCTCGAGCGCGGTGACGATGGCTGGGCCAGGAATGACATGCGCGTTGGTGATCTCGGCCCAGAGCGCGATGCGGTGGTGTCCAGAAGTGTACTGCTTCTGTACGGTTTCTGTGCTGCGTTAGAGACTGCCCCGCCAGTGAATATCCTACGAGCCAACATGACATACCACCAATGTCCGCAAACTTTCGGTCTTCGAAGATGAGGAACCATTTCCGCTTGGCAATCTCTCTCAGTGCCTGTGCTGTCCTGTCCGACCAGTCGACGACGATGTCGCAGTGCGTCTTGAGCACGCAGATTGAGTCACCAACATCTTCGGCCAGTTGGAGGAGTTCGGCCGACGTCTCGACATCGGCGGAGAGGCAGAGGTTCGTCTGCTTGACGGATATCAGGCTCAGCAAGTACGAAGCCAAGGGCCCGGTCGTGGGTAGTGAGGCGCGCGCACGGTACGTGCTGGTGAGGCTCGGGTGGGAAGACATGACGGCGATCGGTGATGGACGCCCGCCGGATTTTGGCTTGTGTGTTTGAGAAGGGCCGATATATAGCCAACGCGTGTGAAGGAATGGATCGGCAGCGTGGTGTTGTTTGGCGAGTGTCTCCGCGGGGATGTCTCTGGTGAGGGGCACTGCTGTCGACGGAGGAAGGAGCGATGGACAGATCGGCAGGTGCGATGAGGCGTGTTATACAAAAAAAGAAAGCCACCCAGGAAGGAACGGGAAATAGCAGCCAAGTAAGAAATATAGCAATGGGAGGCTAACGTCGACGGTCCCGTCGTCGCAGGTCGAGGACGCGGGCGCCGACAGGCAGTGCGCACAAAAATTGCGCCTGTTCCTGGCACGGCCCGCTCAGCGCTGGTCGCAGATCATGTCTAGACGCGCAGTCGAACCGAAACCGTCATGCACCGCAGCCAGCGACCGCCCATAGACGCCAGAAATGCCACCCAAGCTGCGGCCTGCCCGGCTACCGCTCTTTGCACCACGGGCCTAGCCATGCACCTCTGCACTGACCGGATGAGCCTCCACTTCCCTCACCCGGCATCGCCTGCAACAGCTGTCTCTTAACCACTTCATCCGCTTCACCACCTCGTATTCCAGATCCTGCACCGCCTCCTGACCGGCGCTTTACTCATGTTCAGGGCTATTCGGCCATACTGCTAGCGTTGCCAACCGACTGCATGTCGCTTCCTCCTGTCATTACCCCAGCCACCATCCCGCTGTAAACCACCATGCCGTAGCCAGCGCTTCAAGCGCCACCGTAGTGCTGCCAGACACCCCACCGCAACGTTACGCCTGTCATCCGATTATTGCAGCCTCCTCGCCGAATTGCTCAACCTCAATTGCGCCGCTCCGAAATATCAACACGTCGACTCAAGGCCTTGGCAACGGCTGCACACCTGCAGCTCGCCAACAGTCCCTATTCGTGTGATGCCTGCGTGTGCTCCATCGGAAAGTGGGGCCCAGAGGCGACGTCGTATCATGCCCGCATCGCGATCCCCGGTTCTGATGAGTTGGTCGGTCCGTTGCTTGATTGTTGATATTGCTTCCCGTCGCTTTGGTGCTGCGTTCGCCTCGGAAGGATAGATATCCCGTCGCTGTTATGGCCCTAGTGGTAAACGATGTCAGGCCAAGGAAACCTCGCTCGGCTTCATTTTGTTCGGATCGTGAACTCTACAGCCGACGAGTACATGTGGAAATGAGAAGCCCAGAACACGCGTCAAATGGGCATTCTGACAAATCTAACAAGTATCTGATTGTGTAATCTATAGGATTCTAGTCTGCTACCCACCGTTCATCACTTGAACTTCTCTTTCCATCACAACAAGCCTTTAGATATCCAAAGGTACTCAACATCCATCTCAGTATGCTTACTATTCTTTCTTCTCTTCACAAAAGCATCAGTAACAAATGTTCATACCACTCGTCTCAGACTCATTATGCCAATGTCTACAAGGTCCCCGCTGTGGCGGCATTTTTCTTATGTCAATATGGTGTAGCAGTACTGTGACTATTTTTGACACACCCTGAAGGTATACACTTTGCCTTGAATGGACTGATTAGATCGAACATACTGAGTGCCTTCCGGCTATGTTTTGGTGTTGGAGGGTGCCTAATCATAGTCACCGTAGCATGCTCATGCGAAGCGGTCTACACATGACTTTGATGTTGCCCGTCACTACCATATTTTTCCTCACCTCGAACAGGTAATAGCAGTGGGAGGACAATCCTTCGACGAATGAGAGCGTCGGAACTCGAATATGACAGCCTAGAGGTAATTTCCCGTTTGCACGTTGCGCGAATTCCGACTTCACTGCGTCTTCTTCCACGAGACACAATAACAACCCCACATTTATTCCCTCACAACAACTTTCCTTCTTCCTTCCCTCTTCCCTTTACTCAAAGCTTTCAACAACTTCGTCGTCAATTCGCAGCTTTGCAGCTTACTTTCTCTTTCTTCTATCAAACCCACTCACATATACCTCGTCAAGATGCCTCCCAAGAAAGAGGTCGTAGCGGGTGAGGCTCTGCTCTCCGGCTTCTTGGATAAAGAGACCAAGCTGCTGGCCGCGGCGTTTCTGAGCTCTACTGCTCCCGACAAGGTATATTACATTACATATGCTATCTCCCGCATACTAACATGAGTAGTTCGATTACGATGTGATGGCTACGCTTACAGGCAACACTGCTGGCTCTCTCAAGAAGATGTGTAAGTAGCATCATATCAGCAGCATGTTAACTACGCTAATGAGATACTCCATCATGCAGGGCCCCCGGTCAAGAAGAAGGCTCTCGAGGCCCATCCCTCGTTCGCCGCCTACTTGGGACAAGCCGGTGTCGCCGCCCCTGCTTCTGCCGGTGGTGATTCCAAGCCTACTGCCGCCGCCAAGGTCACTAAGAAGCGCAAGGCTGCTTCCGAGGTCCCTGAAGATGCTGGGGATGGCGCCGAGGATGTTGCTCCTCCCGCTTCCGCCGCTGACAAGTCTGAGGCCGAGAAATCCGACTCCAAGAAGAAGGCTCCTCCTGCCAAGAAAGAAAAGAAAGCCCCTACCAAGAAGCGCGTTCCCGTCAAGGGCCCGAACGCCCCAAAGAAGGCAGCCAAGAAAGAGCCCGCCTCTGAGGAAGAAGTCGTCAAGGACAAGTCTGCCGAAAACTCCGCCGACGGCGGCGACGGTCTTGGTGAGTATTCCTACCTCAAAAACCTTGAGACATGGTTGAACAATACTGACAGTGAGTTAGGCGGCGAGATCGAAGACGACATCTAGAGACGCTCATCACTTCTTGCAGGCGCTCTTGGTTCCTGACGTTGTACACACGCAAATGGTAGGCATTGCCCACGTCACTGTACTAAGAAAAGGGACCGTATTCTTACATCAGCAGGAAGTTCTGGGTTGCGCACGATAGCATTGTGTGTCCTTTGGGTATATGATGGGTTGTGTGTTGGCGAAGGGAGTTTCTGGGTGGATGGTATGGCATGATATGACGATTGCTACCCCGGTGTTAAGGCTATGAGGGCTTTTGACGGCTTTTGTTGGGTATGGCACGCACTCTTCGCGTAGTCGAATCAACGATGATACATTCTACTTCCAAGATTCTGTGTGTTCGTGAATGTGCCGTGATGGATGTACTGCCGATTTCGGGTATGAACTTTGTGCCATTCGCTTTCCATACCGTATATAGACGTGGATATTAGTACGTAGATGGCGGTTCCCTTCATGCCTTTGTATTGTAAATCGTGTCGCGACTTGTCGCGTCCTAGCGTTGACATGCACACGTAATCAGGCACACAGACCAGCTGCCCTGAGATGTGTGACGGCAAAATTCCGCACCCTCAACCCCATCTTACAAACCCTCAACATGCCACCGACGCCCACGACTCGTACGCTGACAATCCAAATGCCGAGACCGATAATGCGCTCTTTTCTTCTGAGCATGAATATATGCCGCGTTCAGTCCCTACAGCTGCCAGGAACATGAGATTCATGCGCACCTCATCATTCTTCGCAACCATCTTCGGCCTCCAACGAACCACATCCGCAGAACTTTCCTCCAGCAACACGACCTTCAATCCCCTCCAAGGAATCCAGCAATTCCCAATCTCGTCCTACAGCAGCAACATGACGCGTCTGGCACCCGTCATCTCGCTCTCGCACGGCGGCGGCCCCATGCCTTTACTCGGCGACCCCTCGCACGCCGCCATCACCAAGTCGCTCAAGACAAAGGTACCCAAGATACTCAAATTGGGGACGCCTGAAGCGCCGAAAGCCATCGTGCTGGTAACAGCGCATTGGAGCACGAGCAAAGTGACCGTATCCAGCGGCTCGAAACACGAACTCCTCTACGACTACTACGGCTTCCCACCAGAGTCCTACGAGATCAAGCATGACGCGCCAGGCAGTCCTGAAGTCGCAGAGCAAGTAGCACAAGCTCTCAAAGACGCCGGTATCGAGTGTGAAAAAGACGACAAAAGACGTATGTCCTCCCTTATCTTCCCTATCCCCACATTTTCTAACAACACCACCACAGCATGGGACCACGGCGTCTTCGTCCCGATGAAACTCATCGACCCTACCGCCCACGTCCCCATAATCCAACTCTCAGTCCTCTCCTCCGAGTCCCCAACACAATCCTACGCCATCGGCCGCGCCCTCTCCTCGCTCCGCACCCAAAACATCGCCATCATCGGCAGCGGCTTCGCTACATTCCACAACCTACGCTTGATGTTCGATGGCACGTCACGGAATCCAGAGTTCAAAGCGCTGAACAAGGAGTGGAGTGGAGCTGTTACGGATGCGGCTATGACGGATAGCGAGCAGGAGAGGGAACGCAAGTTTGAGCATTGGAGGAAGTGGCCGGGCGCTTATACTATGCATCCGCGGGGTGGGGCGGAGCACTTTTTGCCGTTGATCGTTGCTGCGGGGGCGGCTGCGGGGAGCAAGGGAAGAAGCTATGCGGATGATTTTATGGGGACGGATATGTGGAGTTATTATTGGGATAAGTGAGTGTGTGGTACAGAGGAGGTGATATAGGGTAATGGGTGGTAATCAGGGAAGTGAGTGAGCAATACAGTTTCTTCTGTAAAACTTCATATCAGAATGAAGCTTTGGAGAAGAAACTGTATTGCTCACTTACTTCTCTAATTATCATCCATTAACGCTGTATGAGGCTTCAAACAGAGGTGGTGATATAGGGTAATAGATAATAATTAGGGAAGGAAGTAAGCAATTGAGTCTGTATTTGGAAGTTACTCACCGGAGTATCATCAAAAACAGACTCAATTGCTCACTTACTTCCCTGAGTATCATCTGTCAACGCTGTATGAGAGTATGTTGCGTCAGTGAGACTTCGTTACCCTACAACATCTTTCAAGCTGTAATCATGCTACTTATCGTATCCACGCCCATTTGTTTGGTATCACATCTCCCTCAAATCCACTCTCATCCCATCCCACCCCACCCCTCCCTTCTCACCCCTGAATAGGCTTCAACCCATACCACCCAATCACGCCCATCCCACCAAACGCACTCAAACAACTAAACACCAACGCCACAATCCCCCTCGCCGTGAAACCCTCCGGTAACCGCCCCGGACTCTTATTCTCACCGCTCAGATCCTCGTAATTAACCGTGTTGCCCGCTGCATTCCCTTGCGTGGGTACATGCCCCGTTTCACAAACGTCCCAGTGCGATTGCGGAATAGCGTTTGAGGAAGAAGGGGAGAGTTGGGCTTGGACGGCGAGCGGGGCTTCGATCATGGTGGCGGTTAGCCCGGAGGCTACGTGCCATTCTATGTGGCAGTGGAAGAGCCAGACGCCTTGGGGTTGGTGTTAGTAGGTGAACGCATATAGGATCGTGCAGAGATAACGTTGTGATGGGAATGTTGATCTTGGTGGTGCGTGGGAGTGAGTGACTTACCGGGGTTATCGGATCGGAAACGTAGCACGATATGTCCGTTTGGTCGGACGAGGACGGTGTCGCGTCGCATGGGTGTTGAAGGGGGTGTTGTTGTGTTGGTGGGGTCGTAGAAGCCTGCGTCGTCTTCGCTGCGGGTTACGACTTGGAAGGCGTGGCCGTGGAGATGGAAGGGGTGTCTAAGAAGCGTTGTTAGTATGAATGCATCATCTACACTTCGACATTGGCGTAGAGAGTGGACAATGCGAAGATGAGGGATATACGCACTTTCCAGGGTCATCATTGTTTAGCACGATTTCCACAATTTCGTTCTGAGCAAGTACGAATGCGTTTGTGTTGCTGCCGTAGATGGTGGGGTTGGTTGCGTTGGGCCCGGTGGATAGGACGGTGTATAACGTGGGTACCTTGGGGCTGACGTAAGTTACGTCGTTGAAGAAAGCGCTGACATATGTTAGTTTCTAGCAGTCCAAGTCCAAGCATGGGACAGTAGATCAGCGACTCACTAATTTGCCCCATCGTCTAGGTTATCCATCTTCAAGTCCAGCGTGATGGAACGATCAACATGATCAAACAGCTCTTCCTTATCGTGCGGTACCAAAGCGAAATCATCAAAAGGCTCAAATGCTGATATCTCTTTTGCGGCAGGCATGTCCTTTTTATCATCATAGACAAGCCATCCCGTGACATTGGGATTCAGCCCATCGGGTATAGCATCGAACAGGTCCTGGTCCATGCTTCCTACAAAGGCGAAGTTGGAACTGGTGTCGTTCTTGGCAGTGACAAGAACACTATACCGCTGCGCCGCGGTGAGATAGATCATATCTGCCTCCATGGGTTCCGTATACACGCCATCGACCTCGACAACGCGCATGGTATGATCCTCGAACCAGACGTACTGCGCAGCGAACGCACCCATGTTGACCAAGCGGAAGAGATACGTCTTTCCTGGTTGAATGGCGACAGTCAAGTTCTGAGTGTCGTTGAGCAATGCGGCTTGAGGTACGGGTTCCGCGCCGGAAGGATTGGCGATGTTGATGAATTCGCCCAAGAGATTGTGCATGAGATCGTGGTACCAATCAGAAAGTGTTATGACGATTTCTTCGTCGTAGAGATCTTTGAATGGGTCTTCGGGGTCGTGCACTATCAGAGGGCCTCGAAGACCATCTGGGTATTGGCCGCGCTCATGGCTGTGGTACCAATATGTGCCGGGTTGATCGACCTAGTTAGGTTAAAGACTGCTATGACTGTCCACCAGAGACTGCGCAACTCACGGTAAAGTTATATGTGAAGGAGCTACCTGGAGGAATACCACATTGTGTGACAGCAACAGGACCATCCATGTGCGTAGTTCCATTCATGTACAAGCCATGGAAATGTAGACTCGTTGACTCATTTCCTAGAGAGTTCTTTGCGTTGACGATGACCTGATCGCCTTTCGTGACTACGATGGGTGGTAAAGGCCATTGGCCGTTGATGCCAATAACTGGGCGCGTTTCCTGCCCATCGGGGTTCGCATAAGTCCATGCTATGTCGAAGTCATATGTGACGGTCGCGCAGGTAGCGACTGATAGTAGTAGGGAGAGCGGAAGGAGGAGGCTCGATGATGAGGGTGCCATGATGGCGCACGAGGCGAGTGCTGAGATTCAAATGGAGCCAGAACTCGTCGCGGATGATCAGGCTGCTCAGAGTACGACTGTACTAAGGAAGTTCATGTGCTACACCCACGTTAGTGCCGATCCAAGAACACTCTCGTCAGACGCAGGACGTAAGATCCGACGTGCGGAGATCAGATAAGACTCTCTAAGCACTTAGCCTCCACTATCTCAAGCCCGCATGCTTCGGCGCCGAGTTATCAGATCATCAGCCCATGTTCTCGACGGTCTGAAGGCGGCCACAAAGTGTCGCAAAGCGGGGCTTATGTGTTTTTCCCTCACGAACTAGACTTACCTCGGTCTGACGTGTTTGATCATCCCAGTATCAGATTGAATTTTCCACGTCTTGGGTAACGACTAGCGAGTTTGTCGAGCTTGATTTGCTGTGGGGTGACATTCACCGGGTGTTATCGGTCCATCTGATAATCTGGACCACGATCGGCCAGGGTCTGGGGTAAGCGACGGCGCCGAAGGACCAATAAGCCTGCGCTAGTCCGCGCCACGAAGTCTTGATTGGATTTGGCGTGCTGGGCATGTGAAGGTGCGGATCAGATAACTCGGAGGTTTGAGAAGGTGTTGGAGCATCTGTCGTCGGAAATAGAGCGGAGAAATGGGACTGAGGTCGGGTGTAGTTGCCTAACGCCAGAAGATGACAACCAGAGATATCGCAGTCGGAGTCGCAGCCGACGCAGCACAAAGCTGAAGCATGATCGGTCCGTCGTGATACCGGGAGAAACTCAAATTAAGAGGCAGGGTCGTCGTGCATGCCCGAACTTCGGCTGTGGTCTAACGCTATCGACACGAACGGCAGGCGCGTGTTAGCCACCCTCAGCTTCGGGAGTCGCTGCATGTCCACCCATCTGATTAGATCCGTCCTCTGTTCTTTATCAAATACCCAGTGAGGGTAGCAAACCACGCAACTTTGACAGTTCCAAGGTCCCTCAAGATGCCGAACGTCTTTGCTGTGCCAGGTATGTATGCGAGAACAGTCGGCTTCCACTTTGCGGTGCAGACCACGCCATCATTGCTAACGCTGATCAAGTCTTCTTCATTTGCTTCCGAGAGTGTCTGGAAACGAGCATCATCGTCTCGGTGCTCCTCGCCTTTCTTAAGCAAACCCTCGGCCCTGAACATGACGCGACAGTCCACAAACGACTCGTACGCCAGGTCTGGTACGGCGTTGGAGCTGGTGTTTTGATCTGCTTGATCATCTGCGCCGGCGTCATTGGCACCTTCTACACTGCTGGACGCAATGCCTTCGAAGCCGCAGAGAACATCTGGGAAGGCGCCTTCGCAATCCTCGCAAGTGTCATCATCACTATGATGGGAGCTGCACTGCTCCGCGTCAGCAAGCTTCAAGACAAATGGCGTGTGAAGATTTCCAAGGTACTGGAGCAAAAGGATTCGAAACTACCCATCAAGGGTAGGTTGAAGCGATGGTCGGAAAAGTACGCTATGTTCATCCTGCCCTTCGTTACCGTGCTTCGCGAAGGCATTGAAGCAGTGCTGTAAGTTACTTAAGTCTTGCCTTTGCATCGCAGAGCTGAACAGTCCATCAGGTTCATTGCAGGTGTCGGACTTGGCGCGCCAGCGACTAGCTTTCCTCTCGCCGTACTCTGTGGTCTCGGTGCGGGTGCCTTGGTCGGGTTTCTCATCTACAAGGGCGGCAACAAGACATCTCTACAGATCTTCCTCGTCATCTCGACATGCTTCCTCTACCTGGTTGCAGCGGGTCTGTTCTCGAAAGGCGTCTGGAATCTCGAACAGAATGCTTGGGTTAAGCTCGCTGGCGAGGGTGCGGCAGAAGCTGGAGCCGGCCCAGGTAGCTATGATATCAGGAAGAGCGTGTGGCATGTCAACGTAGGTCTTCGTTTTGACAGTAGCGCATTTCCGTATGCTAACTGCTGCAACAGTGCTGCTCACCATTGGAGAATGGCGATGGCGGGTAAGTAAATGCACTCTCATTCAACTGTTCTCTCGCTAATGGCATCGTTCAGTTGGGGTATCTTCAACTCTCTTTTTGGATGGCAAAACAGCGCAACCTACGGCTCCGTCATCTCGTACAACCTATACTGGCTCGTCGTCATCATCGGTTTCGCGTTCCTAGGTTGGAAAGAAAGCAAGAGCAGCCCGCCTCACAGTGCGCAAGCTGAGAGCATTTCTTCCAGCGAGGAACGCGAAACCACAGGAAAGAAGTCCAGCGGTGAAGGCATCACAACCACAACAGCGGTACGAGAGGTTGATTAGAAGAGGTGAGAAATCGCCGCCTCGAATATCAAGGCTGTGAAATTGTGTTGAGCGTATTTATAGATCTAGTGGGAGGCCTCGCTGTCAGCTAATTGGGACGATTGAGGGAAAAAGCTTGTTCGGGCCAAAGTGGGCCCTAATGCAACCCACTCTAAACGAGGCCTAGGCCGCCCCAAACACCCACGCACCGAA